ATTTTAAGATTCTTTGCATATTATTAATTAATTATTTTGCATTTAGTCAATGTATTATATTGAATTTATTATCTTGAAAGAAAAAATTGGTTCATTTAACCTATAAATTACCTAATGTAGACCATATATCATGTTTGATTTTAGTAGGAGGATCCATATTTAAAAAGCTTGGCCAAGATTACGAGAGAGCCTTCTGCCTATTGATCAGTATTTTTCACAGTATCTCTTACATGAAGAGAGCTGCAAGAATTACCTCCAATGCACCATCCTTTATTAAAAAAATCACATATAATTTTGGGGTGTCTGTTTCCATCCTTAACCTCAACACCAGGAGGTAGACTTCTAGTCCTCATATAAAGAATATTTAATCAACAAAACATAATAGTTAGATACTACATGCGAACCAATTTAAACAAATTGATAAAGGACAATAAGCTGCTTATAAAATAGACAACATATTGTGTCATATTATAAGTAGGTTTTTAAAAACAATATTAAACTAAAATGACCATACCTTGGTGTTATTTGTTTCACATCATCCTTTTATCCAATCTCTGGCTACATGATTCTGTTCCTATAATTTTGATCACCAAACATTTTCAACAATACTATCTCTTTATAGGAAGCAATAACTAGTATCACTGGATGACCTAGTGACCCTACAATGTATATCCTTAACACCATATAAATAAGGCTTTGTTATTGGAATTTGGTTTGCTGCATTATCCAAAGGTTTTTCATTACAGGAAGAATCCAACATTTTTCACATCAACATCAACATCTAATCCTTGACTTTTGTCGTTCCCAGCAAAAGTCAGGTTTTCTCTTGATTTTGGATGAGTTTATATTTCGTGTTTAGGATAAACTCCTCTTTTTTTTATTTTAGTGTTTCACGTGAATGAATAAATGCTTTGAGCATAACATTATTATGTCATATAGAAGAAAACCCTAAATCAACGCCACCTTCTGTTATACGTTACATAGAAGAGCATGATGTTGTGCTCAAAGCATCCATTCCTTCACGCGAAACACTAAAATCGAAGAAGGAAGAGTATCATCCTAAACATGAAATGACAATACATCCAAAATAAAAGAGAATATGGATTTTGCAAAAGATGGCAAAAGTAAGGATTAGATGATAACATTGAAAGTGCTAGATCCCTCATACAGAAGAAAACATTTGGAGAACACAACAAACCAAGTTATAGTAACAAAGCGTAATTATAAGGTGTTAAGGATATTAGTTCTATGACCACCTAATCATATAGTGATTCTGGAAAATATGTGGCTATTGGCCTCTTATAGAGTGGTCACTTTGTTGAGGATGTTGACGGAGATGTGAATTCTAGGAACAAAATCATACTGCCGGAGATAAAGTTAAAAGATGATGTCAAACAAATAATAATGAGATATGATCATTTTTGTTCAATATGTGCTTTTAGATTTACTTATAAGATAACAAAGTTTAATTACACGGTATGTTATATGTTTCAGGGGTAGCTTTTCGCCCCTTAACAATGTGTTTGAATTGGTTCACATGTAATATTTAACTATTATGTTTTACAGATTAACTTTTCTTTATAGAAGAATTGGAAGTCCGTCTCCCAATGTTGAGATTAAAGATTGAAACAAATACACCAAAATTATATGTGATTTTTTTGTTGCTAAAGGATGGTGCATGAGGGTATTCCTTGTAGTTTTCTTTGCTAAAGATAATGTGAATAATGCTAACCATGAGGCTGAAGGAGACTTAGTCATGGAACCTCACAAGAGTGAATTAAAATAGGAAGAAGCCATATTATATAACTTATTTGGCCAAGATGTTCAGGAATCTGCTCTCCAAACATATTTATCATAAAGAATATATTGTCACAAGTATTAGGGAAAATGTTCAGAGATCGATGAAGGTTAGTACTCTAATTCCATTAACTACTTCATTCGAAAGCATATGTTTATATTTTTTTGAATTTCCTTTGAAAATGAACATACAGAATTGAGCAAGAAGCAAGTCCAAGATGACATCTATCTCAAGAAAAATAGAATGTCTTTTAGGGATAACTTTTTCCCAAAGAATAAATTTGCATTTAATGTAACAGACAATTATTTTAGCTCCAGTTGTTTGGTTGCATACTTAATGTATTTCCTTTTATTTTATTTTTAATCAAATAATAGATTGTTTATGATTGCTTTTGAAATAAAATGAATGATATTTCTAGTTGTATGGTTCTTTGCATATTGTTCATTTATTATTTTGCTTTTATTCAATGTGTTATATTATATTTATCATTTTGAGGGAAGAAGCTAATTTCTTTTAACAGATAATATTTTGTATAATATTATTATGCTTTAGTGAATCATGATTTAAAGGCATGGCCAAGGTTAAGAGAGGGCTTTTTGCTCACTAGTTACCAAGATGAAATTTGAATTTGAGAAGCGGAGGATGACAACGCAAGATGCACAATGCTCATGTTAATGAAACATCTAGATGGAGCAAAGCCAACAGAATTATTGTATTAAAGGTATTATTTATTTTATATGATAATATATCAATTATGGAAGTTAATTTGTATAACAAGTTGGAATATATTTTGCATGAATCTTCGGGTTATCTATAAATTCGATATATTTATGCAATTATCACATAATTTCATGTTGTAGTAACCTATGTCGATGCTTGGTTTTTTAAAGAACCCATTACGTGAAAAAATCAGCTGTATCATTTTGAAATTGCTTTAAATTTGATTTTGAGCTGCTTCACAAAAAACAATTTGTTAAAAAAATGATGTAAAAATCATTAAGAGGGAATAATCTGTGTTAGTGAAATTAATTCGACAATACACACAGTTTCATGAAATGCACACAAGAAATAGAAATATGCAATAAGTCAAAGTTAAAGTGTACCGTACGAAAATATATGAATGTAACAAGAAAAATTCGAGCTCAATGTTAAACATTGTGTCCTTAAGTTAATATTTCTCTCTCTATAGTCCCAAGATTCGTGGACAATTGTCTTACATGATAGAACAAATTACCTCTACTATTGCGGCCTCACTTCCACATTGAATAGCTCCATCGAACTCAACCTATGCCTGACTAATTGAACTATAGTAGAAGAATGCAAATGCAATAGGGAAAAACTCTCCTTAAAATTCTGATTGACTATCTATTTATAGAAAATATACGGTCACGATCGAAAAAACACTCATTTAAGGATGAAACAACACATCTGTTAGGATGAAGCAACACATCCTTCCGGCGATGAAACAACGCATCTTTTCAAATCAAACTTCTTATTCATAAAAATAATTAATTTAAAAATTAATTTCAACAATCCCCCACGTGAATAAGCAGTTCAACTATCAAGACCATATGCATATGAGACTCAAATGCAATGTGCAATTGATCAATGAGGAACAACCCAATTGGGTTCGGTGGACTCAATGCCTTATAAGCGGACCTAGTTAGACCTATTGAATTTACTCGGTCAATCGATAGACGCGATGCCTTCTAATCGTCAACCTTGTGTGTAAACCAAGACAATAGGAAACACACGATTGTTCCTCGGACATGGATGGTCCTCTATTTGTGTCCATTTTCACATTGGACACCTCCTGGTTCTGCATGTGCGTTAGAGAATACGGGATTGCAATATTCTCATAGAAGCGACCATCACTTCACACCTACATAGGTGATTTTTGATGTGTATCCCAACATACACTGTCTGAACACATCAGAATAAGAAATCATTAAAAGCTTACTTGACTACCCTTTACTTATGCACTGCCTTGTTTAGGAATGAGTATGAGTTTTGAAAAACTCCACAGTGCTTTTTCGTCAATCATCACTTGATTTTCTCTTTGAACCTAGTTCGTGGGATCTCCACTCTTCTAGGTAGAGTTTCTGCAATGATCAACATTTTAATGGTCTTAAACTCATTCCTTTCGACAAACTATACATCGTCTCTCTAGGTACACTTCTAGTTAACAGATATGTAATAATATCACTAAAGAGTAATTGCCTCACGATATCATGTCTTCAATATCGACATCTAGACTTGCCATCATACATAACATTCCTTGCAATTCCAACTGCTACCTTATTATCATAGTGGATGCACATAGCAAACACAAATTTCAGCCAATTCAGAATACCCTCAATGAAGTTACAAAGCCACTCAGCTACCCCACCAACTCTATCTGAGGCAATAAGCTTTTGCTTCTATGATTGACCTTGTAATATATGCTTGCTTGGATGATTTATAAGACACACCACCCCCACCAAGTGTGTACACATACCCACTCATGGACTTGGTGTTACTAGAGTCGGTGATTCAATTTGCATCACAATCGACATGCACCATTATTAGATGCATATCCAGTGAAACACAACCCACTCTCTTTGGTCTAATTTTAACTTTTTTTGGTTTCGGAATCGCGACCTTTGCCAAACACTCCAATACTTTAAGATAATTCAAGGCAGACTTTCTACCTTTTCATATTTTACAAGGGATGTTCATTGTCTTCTTATGAAGGTACTCTATTGATTATATAATTTGTTATTAAAATGATTTTCCCCTACAAATTTTGTAGTAATCCACACATCTACAGTATCATTTATTTTTATTAAAAATTCATTTCAAATAACAGATGCTCGCAGTAAAGCATAATATGTTACAAATTAAAAAAGAGAAAAGAAATGATAGATTAAAAATGGTAAAAAAGAGAAAAGAAATGATAGATTAAAAATGGTAATTCAGAATGTTAAATTAGCGATCACTGCCAGGCCCAAGTTACACAACTATGTGGATATGGGCTACAGCCATATAATATATCATAGAATATAAATAAATAAAAAATGTATTAGGGTTATCATAAAGGTGACACGTAGATGAAAGTAGTGGAGGTGGGGTCTACCTTTCCAAGCAGGATTCCGATGTACACGTCAGTTGAACATCCTTTGTTTCCTTGTTCTGTTGTGTGATTTGGCCTGAGGATGCTGTCTCCGCCTCTACGTTAAAAACCCCTTCAATTGCAATTGGAATTGGGGTTCCATTGCCTGGCCGCAACCTTGTTCCCTCTCTGCTCCCAATGTCTCTCCCAAATTCTCCCACAGCCTCCCATGATGAAATCGATCCATCCTTTCAAGAAGAAGAAGAAGAGGAGATAGAAGACCCTGAGGAAGAAGTGGAGGAAGAGGAGGAGGAGGAGGAAGAGGAAGAAGAAGAGGGAGAGGAAGGGGAAGAAGAAGAAGAAGAGGGAGAGGAAGAGGAAGAGGAAGAGGTAAAAGTGAAGGAGGAGGTAGGATTGGTAGAAGAAGAGGAGGAGGATGTAGAAGAAGAGTTGGAGGAGGTAGAAGAGGAGGAGGAGGAGGAGGAGGTAGAAGAAGAGATGGAGGAGGTAGAAGTGGAAGAAGAGGAGGATGAGGTAGAAGAAGAAGCAGCAGCAGTAGAAGAGGAGGTAGAAGAAGAACCAATGGAGGAGGAGGTAGAAGAAGAAGAAGAAGAAGAAGAAGAAGAAGAAGAAGAAGAAGAGGAAGTGGAGGAGGAGGACAAAAGGGCAGTGACAGATTCTCCACCCAATGTGGATAACAATCGCAAAGGTTTTTCAATTCATAAATTAATTATGAATTTTGTTCTTTATTTTATCCCCTTATATGTAGTTCTTCTGTTTTGCTTAAATTTTGTAACTTGGTTTTGCTACTGTATTGCTCACCCACTATCTGGTGTTTACTTACATGCAGTTTATATGGTTTTTGTGAGTTCATGTATTTTATGCCATGTTTATGTTGTTCTTTCTACTTTATTATTTTATTTTTATTGAACTGTTTATTTGGGGATAGAGGGAGAAGGAGACAATGGGGACTAGCGAGGAATGATATGCTACCTTGGAGTAAATCTTGTGGCCGTGGGGTTTGGTTTTTATTAGGAGATTCTAGAGAGTAGAGACATCTCTGCAGTTAATCTATTTCAATGGGAACCTTCAAATTCTCACCATGTTACTTATTCATGGACCCTGCCAGAGCTTTATAGCATCAGTTGCCCCCTTTTTTTTAACTGGTGCTTAACTAGAATTGTACTGATTCCCGATTAACCTAGTTGCAACGTTGTCATTGGCATTTGGTGATGCAGCAAGCCCCAAAATTTCTGTGTTACCATGCAGATTGTATGATATTCGAGCAAGTTGGCCATTTGAAAAACAGTAAAGAAGACATTAAACTCATGTACAAATAGTGAACACAAAGAGAAAGCGATAATGGGAAAACAAGAGAGGTTAGAGGTAAAACACTGATGAAAATTACATGACTGAGGATTTCAGCCAAGTCTGATGACTTGAAGAAGCATGAGGTCAGAGAGCACCCTATCTTGAAAGCCCAGATTCAGTGTACTATGTCAGAAATGAGTGTGTTCTGCAGTATTTTCTTCTAATTTACTGCTATATTTTGACAGAGGGAACTGTGAGACCATTTTCAGCTAGCACACGTGGTAGTGGCTACATTGTGTATATAACAACAGCCAAGGCTTACCCTACTTGGCATGGTCGTCAAACATGCAAATGAACTCGTAGAGTATGAGTTTACAATTCTAGGTAGGGAAATCGAGTTAACATGCTTGAAAACTTGTTTCTTTGTAAACTCGGGTAGACTCATTTATACATGCACAGTATCATGAGTTTGAGGTCGATTGGACGAGTCTACAACGAAATGGTGATTTGTCCCTAAACACGCCCAAAATGACACTGTTTCACTATTTTTCAAAAAACCCAAAAAGCAGATTTCACGACAGATGAATGATAGGGCTTGTGTTGCATGAAACCTCAACCTCAAAGCTGCACGAACTCGGCTCCATAACGGCATCCAACATTCTGGCTTGAACCCAGCCGCAATGCAGGTGGTGAATGAAGCTACAACGATTCTCAATTGCACAGCTCCTAGCTTGAACAAAGTCACAATCCAACAGGGGTGGACGAACCCCATAGCTCACTGTGAGTCTGCAACTAACCCAGTAGGCTGATGAGGTAAACCTAGCTCCAACAAGGCGAACCTAGTGCCCATCATTATCTTCACTCTTCAGTAGTTTTGAACCTTGTGATTTTTGAATTTGTCCATCAATTTTGAACTTGTCATGCTTTGCTTGTGTGCTGAGCTACAAATCCATCTTGGTAATTGTGGTTTGCTTTACTATGAAGTTGGGATGTTGAATATTTAGTATGCCTCTTGGTATTTAATATGCATATGGTTGGTGAATAATGCCAGACTTTTCAAGTGTGAACTTTTTTATGTTGCCTCTGTCATGAAATAAATTAGTCTTCTTAACCTCTTTATGGTGTGTAACTAATGGCTGTTTTAGAGGGGTTTCTTTGTTGGATATGCAGCGAGACTGGTGAGCATTGCTAGTTTATTAGCCTCTGACTTGTTCTTGTACTTTTTTATTTGTTGAGATGGATTTCTGAATTGCTTGAGGAAATCCTCAGCATGATTGATTATATATACATGATTTAAAATATCTAATATTAGGAAATTAGGAAAATGATGGGACCTAGCAGGATCCTAAGAAAATCTGGAAGGTGATTGGTTTGGGGGAGCAAACTCATAGTTAGATGGTTGGTTGTTTGCTTAGTTAGTTACAGTTAGAGTCAGTCAAGGAGCTAGACGATTAGGCAGTTACTAGAGTCCTAGCTTAAATAGCAGAAGGAAGGTTAGAAGGGATTCATTTAGGGGGCTGTGATTTGAGAATTGAGCTAAGGCTCTTGAAAAGGGTGAAACCTTGAAAGGAGATCTCTCTCCTTGTTCATCTCAATAATATCATTTCTCTTTCAATCTCTTCGTCCCTTATCTCTGTCTATTTCCTTTCTTGTTGTGGGTTTGTAATTGTTAGAAACAATGATCAAAACCATTTTAAACAATGTAAAATAATGTCTTTCAACAGTGTAAAGTACTGTGTTCTACTCTGTATCAATGATGTAGAATATTGAGTAAGTAAGGAAAGTGTAAAAGTAGTGTCTAGGTTCGTTGAACCTCTTTTATTATATAATCACCACTCCGTCGGCTGGTTTATGTGCTGAACACTGCCAGTTCAGTAACTTGTTGCTTTGAGTTGACATTACTCTTTTTGTCCAATCTTCATAATTTGTCTTGTGGGAGGTAATATAATTCCCTCGATTGTCTTTATGAAACGATTTAGAGAAGAGGATTCATTTCTTTTTCCTTTCTACTTTTAATTTCTTGATTTAGCTTTAATCTTCTATTGTAGATTCCAGCCAACATATGGGGTCTGAGGAGCAAGACGAGAACGTGGGGCCAGTTTCATCTATTGTAGAAAAACCTGAACAAGTGTCACAATCTACTTTGCATGACATGGAAAAGAATGATGCCATGGTCATAGCATCTGTTCCTTCATACGATGGTGGCCAGAATTATAGGAACGAAATCAAGCAGCCGGGAGTAGAGTTAAAGGATGATGTGAAACAAATGACATCAAGGTCTGGTCATTTTAATTCATGATGTTCTTTTACATTTACCGATAATTTTCCCGAAGTTTAATTACAAAGCATGCTTTCTCTTTCAGAAGTAGCTTCTTGTCCTTTAACAATGTGTTTTGGTTCACATGGAGTTTCTAACTATTATGTTTTACTGTATAACTCCTCCTTGTAGGAGGACTAGAAGTCTGTCTCCTGGTGCCGAGATTGAAGATCAAAACAAACGGCCGAAAATTATATGTGATTTTTTTGCCAAAGGTTGGTGTATAAGAGGAAGTTCCTGTAGTTTTCTTCATATAAAAGATACTGTGAATAATTTTGACCAGCAGGCTGAAGGAGACTTAGTAACTGCACATCAAAAGAGAGAATTGAAATCGGAAGAAGGTATATCATATTATTTGGCCAAGCTGTTCAGGAATCTGCTCTCTAAACATATTTCTCATAAAATATTATCTTGTCACAGGTGTTAGGGAAAATGTTGAGAGATCGAGGATGGTTAGTACTCCGTTTCCATATACTACTTCACTTGAAAGCATATGTTTGCATTCTTCTGAATTTCCTTTGAAAATGAGCCTGCAGAATGAGCAAGAAGCAAACCCAAGTTGGCATCTATCTCAAGAAAAACAGAAGTTTCCAGAGAATAGATTTGCATTTAACGCATCAAACAATTATTTCAGCCCAAATCTCTCTTCGTATTCAACCCGTGCTGAGGGAATGGCCACCATTCGAAACAAACATATGCACAAAGGATATACTTCTGCAGTTTTGAGTCATTCACCGAATTCAAGTGTGGTTACTCAATTTCCAGCTCCAAGCATGTCACTGTCCCACCGGATTTTAGCCCAATCAGGATGTTCATTGCCTTTTAGTTCCTCTCTAGGTGCAACTACTTTAGGTGACAAAGAATATCATGCCCCTACGTCCACTTTCTCTGGTTCAGAGCGGGAAGATTTGCCGCTAGTTAGTTCATCCAGGGTTCCACTGCATTCTACTGGATATAAATCAAAAATCCGTACTTATAATTGGGAACCTTCTGTACCATTTAAACCATCATTTTTTATTACTTCTATGAGTGTATCATCCCCTGGAGATCTTTATGATCCTCTTCGTGATAGCATTGAGATACCTAATATAGGAGATGGGTCTTTGAAAGCTTCCCTTTTAATTCAAGGATCATCTATCCAGGCTTCACCACAGGTGCGGACATATGGTGATTCTGCTGTAGTTGGGAAACACAAGTCTGATCTTAATGATGCCAAAAGTTCTGTATCTTCTCATAATAGATTTTATGAAAATGAGCCAAACAAAAGTTGTGTTCCTCGTGAAAAAGATTGTCTTGCAACTGAAACAGAGATAACATCAGGAACTTATGTAAACTATCTAGATGGTAAAGTGGGCGTCGGACAAGATTTTACAAAAACAGAGAAAGAGCGTGATGCTAGATATCATGGCCAAGGATCAGGGCACAAAAAGAAGAGAGTAGATAAGGATAAGAAAATTCATGAAATGGATGTTGACTTTCAGACGGATGGCAACGTGCAGAAAGAACCGAAGACATTAAGAAATTTCCGTGCGTGTCTTGTTGATTTGGTGAAAGAGTTGTTAAAACCATCTTGGCATGAGGGTCGTCTCAGCAAGGATGCACATGTTATGATAGTTAAAAAATCAGTTGACAAGGTTGTTAGCACCCTAGAGCCCCAGCAGATTCCGACCACCATAGATGCTGCTAAGCAATATGTTTCTTCATGTCGGGGGAAAATTGCAAAGCTGGTCAACGTAAGTGTCTTTTTTTTTTCCCTTTATGGCAGTGATTGTGATTTGTCCTCCATTTGACAAAAGCATCTTTTGTCTGCAGGGATATGTCAATAAATATGGCAAATCTTGATATGCGAGCCCAAACACCTTTTGTGGACAGTTTCTGATCAGTTTGGCTGATCCCAATTCATTATAACTTCCATCTGAGGCTATCTGTTTCATAGTCAAGGTTGATTTGGAATGTTTTGAATTCTCTTTCAACATGTTTGCTTCATGTTTGACCGGTGCTTTTTCTTGCTTGTTCAATTCCGGTGTAAACATGCATGAATTGCATGGTTTATAACTTAAGGATACCTTATTTTCATTAGATGATATATCAACCATGTTTGCATAATTAAGGTTGGTTGTTTAAAAACATCTATTATGATTCTCTAGGGCCTGAAAATAATGGCCAGCAACTAGGAAAGACTGGTAGGGTTCATGCTGTTTCTTTGTTTTCATGTGTCTGAAAATCTGGAAATTGTTGTAAATATATTGATATCCCGCACTGTAGAGTTGGGTTATAGAAGTTGCAATATGTCGGGCAGGATTTTTAATGTCCCAGTGGTCAACCTCAGCATTTGTATTTTATTCTGTTTCATCTGGGTTTCTTGTTTTGTTTATTATTGGCCATGGGAAAATTTTGCAAAACAGCTGCTAGTTGAAGCTTCCTAGTATTTTTATCATCTCGAAACATGATGTGTAGTCCTGTTATTCTGTTTATCATATTTATTAGCTGTGAGTTTTAGCTTCCTATCTTTGTGGATGTCATATTTGTGTTTGCTCATCAATGCCAACCCGTGTTTGCTCATCAATGCCAACCCGTGTTTGCTCATGGTCACTAGCAAAGTCAATTTTTTGCTTTTTACCAAAAAAAAAGTCAATTTTTTTTCCTAGAAGTACCAAGTTCATTTACACTTCTGTATTTCTTGCTAGTTTGTGATGAATTATATGTGCTCAGATTGCTTCTTTTTAAATGTCTTAAATTTTGTTCAAAATTTAACCTTAAATTTGGAAATTTCTAGGCAACATTTTCATTTTGTCCCCGTATAAAACAGTTTGTCTCTATGTATATATAAACTACATTGCACAGTTGAGGCACAAGAAGAAAAATCGTTAACAGCTAGTACGTAATTTTAGGAATATGATGGAACCTATAATTTCAATAGCAATTATACTGAGAAATAACAAGAAAATGGCAGTAACACAGCAATGACAGTAAACGAAACAGAGCAACAAGACTCCTCATACTAATTACAGACTTAAACACGTAACAATAACAAGGATTACAATGTAGAAAATAGACATCAAAAGACCTCACTTACTCTCAAGCCAAAATACCTAGGCCAAAGAGATCCCAAGAGATCTTTTCCCAAAACTCGACTCCAAATATTCTGAATGCATGCATACCCACACTAAACACACTGCCTCCCTTTTATCCTATATTTTAGGAATATTATAGAATAGTTTCCATAACAAACTAACTAATTCACTAACTTTTAGGCCCATGGCCCATCAATACTCCCCTTCCAAAACTCACCTTGTCCTCAAGGTGAAGAAAGAGGATAGGCAATGTGAAAAATTATCCACCCGGATCCCATTGTTTAAAGCTTCTTAACCCTGTTGTCACTCCCTTTCCACTGAGGTCAGCCAGCTTCTTTGTGGTAGCCTCTGTCCCAACAGCAAACTTGTCAAACTCAAACACTCCCTTTGGTCCATTCCATGTGATGGTTTTGGGGGTATCCAATGCCTCACTAAATGTTTTAACCAAATCTGGATCAATATCCAATCTCATCCAGCCATCAGGGATAACATATGCTAGCACGACCTTGCTGTTTGCATCAGGAGAAGATTTGTCCGCAATCACCATGTCACTTAGTAACAAGAGAAACACCCATTTTGCCTTGGCTATTGCAAGTAATGACGTGGCAAGATCCAACATCGTTGCCCTATGCCTGTCACCACCCACAATACTATGCACACTCAAACGTATATCCCAATTTTCCTCACCAGCCATCTGCTTACCCGTGTCGTCCCCTCCGCTCTCTCCCTCGACCCCAATGCCCAACAACATGTCGTGTAGTTGTGGGTTGCTACACACATGACCCACAGAGAAAGGAGCATCACATCAGAAGCATATCCGCTGTTAATCGCCAGTATCTCGCACCGCCTTGGTCATTGTTGCTTCTGTTGGTAATGGAGCCTCCTTGTGTCAAAACTTGGCTTTTCACTGTCGCTATGTGCCTTAGGTTGGGATAGAATTCATTGGGTTGCTGTTGAGCCCCATTGGTTTTGATATTACCACTTGAATTGGGCCCGCAGTGATAAGTGTTTGGCCCATTTCGTGAACCAGAGCCCAATCCGAGAATTCCTTCTCCATTTGTGTTATTGGAACGGGCTGTAATATATTGTCCTGATCCAGGCCCACTATCATTCAACCCACTACAGCTCACACTATCCACCATCTTCCCAGCAACGATTTCTTTCTCTTCGTTTCTTTCATGCTTTTCTTCCTCACTTTGAGCTAACAACCTGACGCCCTCCATATTTGCTGTTGAATGTGACGAGATTTTAGCACGAATCTCCGCCTTCATCTCTTCCTCACGCTTTTCTTGTTGTTTTTCTTCAACCTCTGCCTTTTGCTTTTCTTCCTTCTTTTTAATTTCTTTTGTTCCTTTTTCGTACGCCTTTACTTCTACACCTTCCGCTCGATTTTTTTCCTTCCGATTAGTCAAGAACGTCGTCTGAACTTCGTATGGTTTCCCGTGAACAGAGCTGTGGAACCTTTGCAGGACTGCAGAGCGAAATCCCTCCCACGTGATTGTCGGATTTCTTGGTTTCTACCATTGGAACCACCCCTTGGCCCTTCCCTCATAACAACTTGAAGCTGTCTCCACTTGTTTTTCAATAGGGATTTGATTCACCCTAAGATAATGCTTCGCCTAAAAAATCCATCCATATGGATATTCTCTGGTAAAGTATGGCACCTCCTCCCTTTGTTTCATTGTTGCCTGCGGGACCCTCTCTCCGCGATCACCACCATGAGCAACAACTCTATTTTCAGTAACTGGTCTTCCTTTCCATGGGTCCACTCGATTAATGAGTGCCATTATCGTCTCTCTCAATTGACGAATAGAGACTTCAACTTCATCCATCCTTTCCTCCACACTATCCAAGCTCTTCTCAACCTTCGTCAATCTGTATTCCATTTTTTTATTTTTTTATTTTTTTTTCTTTCTTTCAGATCTTTGGATCAAAGATCACTCCCAGGAATGTAGTGCTTTGATACCAAATTGATGGAACTTATAATTTCAATAGCAATTATACTGAGAAATAACAAGAAAATGGCAGTAACACAGCAATGGCAGTAAATGAAACAGAGCAACAAGGCTCCTCATCCTAATTACAGACTTAAACACGTAACAATAACAAGAATTACAATGTAGAAAATAGACACCAAAAGACCTCACTCACTCTCAAGCCAAAATACCTAGGCCAAAGAGATCCCAAGAGATCCTTTCCCAAAACCCCACTCCAAATATTCTGAATGCATGCATACCCACACTACACACTCTGCCTCCCTTTTATCCTATATTTTAGGAATATTATAGAATAGTTTCCATAACAAACTAACTAATTCACTAACTTTTAGGCCCATGACCCATCAGAATATATCCCGAGACAAATTTGAGGGAAAAATGAATGTGAGGCTGTTTATGATGAATTTTAATTCTCTAGTTCCAATGTAAAACAAAAGATCAAACTTGTTCATTCTGTTAGGGTAATACTGCAGTCACCTTAAGCCCTTATGTGCTCAAGATTCAATCGAAAAAAAGGTAAAGAAAAAACCAGCCTAGACCAGAAAAGAAAAATGGTGATGAGATTTTGTTTCCTTAGAGGCTCTGAATTCACCAGTGTTGGAGCTTTTCTTAGCAATACCCAACATGTACAATCCCCAGACCTCACTGTTATATGCAATCTTAAATTTCTATTTGAACATTGTACCCAAAAAAAAAAAAAAAAAAAAAAAAATTGTATTTGAACATATCGAGATCTTTAGCTGACAAAGAAAAATAAATCAATAGCAAACCATATGAGAAATGATCGGCTAGTTAAGCAAATAGAATATTGTATATAGCTTTGACTAACCAAATAAAATGAAAATGATAAAAATGGTCCAAAGTGAAGGTTTAACATTTTGATCATTTGATGCTATTGCTGCAGTGACTGACGTTGAAATGAAGTTTGACACTTGTATTTTGTTCATACACTAATTAGCAAGAAAAGCTAGATTCCTGATGACATTTTCTGGTTTTGCAAGAAAGAAGTGCATAGAGAATAATAGGCCTTGTGTCAGTATATTTTGAAATTTTCTCCTGCAACAGTTTGTGCTTTTACAGCCCCTGGTTTAATGGTTCCGCATTCTTGGCATGGTGATAGAAAAGACTTCATTTTCTGGCCAAACCCTGTCCTTGTCACGGTGCTTTCCTTGTTTGTATGTTTGCTTGCTCTGTCAAGTTTTTCATGATGTTTCCTAGTGCTGCTTGTTTTCCCACTTGACACCTTACTACTGCTATGCGTTGCTATTAATGAGCTTGAGGAACTGGGTGGATTTGTGATCAAAGGCTGATTTGTTTGAAATGCAATTGCTTGTGGTTGAAGTTGACCATTGAAAATAAGCTGATCAGCAGGTGTGATCTTGATTGGATTGATAGCAGAATTTAAGTTTGCTTTGGAGTTGGTAAATTCAAATTCTGGGTCATGCTTGCTTACCTCATAGTATTTAGCCTGGTTAGGAGAAGGGAGCTTTGGTTGCTGGTCTTGAATGGAAACAAGGCCACTAAAAGAGAATGAGTCCATTGAAATGTTATCAGTCACAACATTCGAGATAAGCTTATTTTCTTGCTGGGTATCCATTGATTTATGACCAAAATAGTTATGTGGATAGGAAACTTATATATGCAGAAACTTAGTGGAAGTTTGGACCACTTTTTAATTCAGTTGGATTGTGTTTTGCCGACTTTTAAGTTGTTCGTTCTCTATTTTATCTTATTCCTTATTATTGTCCACTTTGTGAAAGAGGGTGTAAGCCAATACGCGTATTTAATTTTAGGGGGTATTTTTTGAGAAATCAAGTTACATGTTGGATCAATAAAAGATTGATAAATCGATTAACCAATCACATAATTTACTCATCCATTATCATTTATCAATTCTCTTTGATGCCAACATTATGAAGTTTGTCATCTTTAGTCCGGGTTGTCACATCTACCATTCGGCCCATACGTATTCATAGAGGAGTCTTCATATTGGTGGATATTAACAAGGTAGAGTGATATATAATATAGTTATCCATTTCTTAAGGTCATTGTCAAATCTCAATCAGCTTATATGACAAACAGTTATATCTTAATTTTTGTGTCTTTGTTGTGAGTGCCTCCCTTGTGCTTACATGATACATTCCCACCTATAGCTTGCTCAAGTGGCTGATCCTACGAGGATGGTAAGTGTTACATAGTAAGTAGATGAAGAGAGGACAAGTGATTTGTTATTTCTTTAGAAATTGCATTTCACTATCGTCTTCTTCTATTCTGGTTTTTATTTAACCTTGCAGTTACATCATCGATTGTGTTTGGACCAAGGTTGTAGTTACTTAAAATTGTATTTACACCACTCGTTTCACCATAGGGACGGTTGTGGTTGGACACAAACCCAAGGACTCATTGAAATGTTCCATTAATTTTTGTTTTGTAACTGGTATATACTTGGCTTTCATTAAGGGGTACAAGTTCAACTCCGGCCCTTTCTAAAGATTAAGAAATAACCAAAATTTCAAAATTATACATGTTTTTAATCACCAAGTAAATATGCATATTTTTTACATGTCGAAAAGTGGAGGGTTCAATGACAAATAATGTGTAGAAGTATGTTAATAGTAACGAAGGGAAATGGAAAATTCAGATGACTCTTTGGAATTTCTCACTACGAAAATGTGAATTTTCTCGGACTTGAAAATTGAAACAACCTTCAATGAACAATCCAGTAAATTACACCTTATGGCTTATACTGTCAATAGATTAAAACTAATATCGTAAGTTGTTGGATGGTATGTGTAATAATTGATGCCAAAGTGACTATGTTCTTCAACAATCAAATTAAAACTTCTTTTCGTGGTTGGGTTGAGTTAGGCTTTAGAAAATTCTGAAAACCAATCGAATTGTAAATAGTCAGGTTCAGTTGATTTTAATTGGATTCATTGAGTTCACATTTTTATAAATTCAAAAAATATAAAAAGGAAAAAAAAGATTTCCATCGTTGTTGGAGGTGGCTAATAGGGTTGGTGATGGAGAATTGTTTACAATTAAAAAAAAAAAAAAACGAAGAAAGATTTGATTGGGTTCATTGGGCTAGGTTGAAATTTTAAAGCGTGTAACCCAACTCAATTAAGTCGGGTTGGAGGCTTTAGACGTATCAAACGTATAACCATGGAAAGTACTTAGAGGGTTTTGACTCTTCAACGTTACCAAGGATATTTCTTCATTTATAATTTACCCTCCTAGCAACTTTGTTTTCATTTTTATTTTTCATAACACATTCATTTGTGTGTTTAGAATATATTTTATACGCCTGCCTTTGAGGTGCGGGTTTCTTGATGATGGTCATTGGTCATCTTAATTTCATTGTGACTTGTGGTTATTTGTTACTTGTTGGTTCGTTTAATACAGTGGGATTACTTTATATTGGCTCATTTAAATTATTGATTTCCTTCAAAATTAAAAATTAATTAATGGGTGTAACACGGTAAATTACCATTTTTAAATTGATGAAAATCAATTATTCAAATGGGACATCATATTAAATTTTTTGATACCAACAATATTTTAAAACTCGACTCTATTATTGACTCGATTGAAATACTGAGTTATTGATTCAATCAATGGGTTATTAATTTAATTAATTTAATTAAATTTATATTAAATTATATAATAAATATATTATAAGGTGCATCTTAGTAAATAATTAAAGATAGCCTATTAAGTTTACCAAAAAAAGAAAAGAAAAGGTACCCTATTAATAATTAATAACACTACTCACACCTTTAAGCTGGGTTAAATTTCATGGCACTACCCTCTCATGCGTTAATGATGAGGTGTTTTTTTTTTTAGTAAAGAATAATGAGGTATTTAAGGACATCAATATTCTCCTTTGATAGGTAAGCTCCTTCATGGTGCTTCCAGTCGTTGATAATTCAATGAGAAATTGGATTTCTTGGTCCACATAGGTTTTGGCCTTTCTAGTAAAATACGTGTCGGGGGCTCTTTTGGTAATTCAATGAACCTGGATCTAGGGGTCTAGTGTGGAAAAATTATTAATTAGAACAAGTTGTTAGTTGTGTATATTAATTTATTAAAACAATACATTATTATTTTATGGGGTTTGATTTTCTCATGTTCAATGAGAATTCAATTCTCATGTTGTAAAGATAAAAAGTATGTGGGACCTATGTGTTAGAAAAAATTATATGTAGGACCTATGTCAGTACGGAAATTGAAGGGTGTGTAGGAAAATTTAAATTCTTATGTTAAATGAGAATTATAAAACCCTTATTTTATATGCATTTTTGTACTATATAATTATTTTACATTTGAAATAATAATGTGGTAGTTGTCGACTAGATCTAGACGAGTCTTTTTTTCCCCTTGAGTTGTGTGCATTAATTTAACAGTTTAATGTTTTCTGCACACTAAAAAGTATAAAGTTTTTCTTCAGTCGCTAATAAAAAAATATGATCTTTATTTAAGTTTCTTATAAAAAAAATTTTGAAGTTCTTAAAAAATTTAAAGTAGACTCATTTAATTAAAATTGTAGTCTCTTATAAATTCAAAAAAACCTATATTAAATTTTTAAAAAAACTAAAATAAATTCACTTTAAATTTTGTAGGAATTAGATGATTTTTTTTATAAAAGACTAAAGTAAAAATCATAATTTTTGTTAGAAAAAAAAAAACTTTACTTTATTGGAAAGATATTTTAACTTTCTCTCTATTCAACTATGCATCCCTACCCTACTTTTCGCTATCAATTGTTTTCTCTCGTTTTTAATATGAGTTCGATTTTTCTATAGTCAACGTAGATAATTTATCTACAATGAGTCGTTTTGGGGCGGAAATCAAAGTATTTTTGTAATTATAATTTATTTCAGGGTTATAATAGTCTTTTTCATTATAAATTTTTAATTTTTCAACCCAAAACGACATCGTTTTGGGAGCGAATGTAGATAACTTATCTACATTCACTTTAGAAAACATTAAAACCTTTTAATATTATGCTTTTGGGAAAAGTGTTTATCCTTTTAAACGATACAACTTATATCCTTTCACTCTCACAAAGAGGTAGGACCCACACTTTTATTTTTTTTGTCAACTCTCTCCTCCTTTATCTATCTCTTTCTATCCCTTAAAATGACACAACTTTACATCCTTTAAAATGACACACACTTTACCCTATGCTTTTTCATAGATAGATTCTAGTTGATTTTTTTTTAAAATCCCTATAAAAAGGATGACTCTTATTGTTTCTCTACTTTTAAAAACACTATTTTAAAATTGTTGGAAAAAAAATTACACAATTAAAGTTGATTGAATAAAAATTTTCAAATCACGTTATTGGTATTGATGGGACTTATGGCATGTCAGCTCCACTTAGGCATCCCGTAACCATAAAATTTCGAAAGACTATAAATTTTGATTCGGGTATTCAAATCAGATAATTTTTTTATATAACTTTTCGAGATCTCCGCAATGACACCTCATTTGACATATTATATCTCCTATAAACATAGTTTGAATTTGTAACAAAGATATTACAATTACAAGAGCATTTAAATCCATAAGCTCCCGAGTTCTTTTCGAATCAACACCATGAGCTTGCTGCACATGCCATCCATTGACACGTTTTATCTATGTGAATGATTTTATTTAATTTTTGTTCTTATTTTTCAACTATCAAACAATAACAAATAATGACAGTGGTTTCCTTTTCATCAACGCGCACAGGATAACAATGTTTCTTCTTATGAAAAGCCTTAAAATACTGATCTTGTTGTTGAAAAAATCGTTTCCTAAGAGGCTAACCATGGGAAAACTAGGTCAAGAAATCGATGACACGTGTTGCGACTCATAGTGTTGGTTTGAAAAGAACTCGGAGGCTTCTGGGTTTAAATGCTCTAGTGAGTGTGGAACTAGTGTTGCAAATTCAAATTATGTTTGTGGAAGATAAAATATGTCAAATGAGGTGTCATTGCGTAGATATAAAAAAGTTATGTGAAATCAAAAAGAAATTTATCTGATTTTAATACACGAGTCAAAAGTTATAGCCTTCTGAAATTTTACGGTGACGAGACTGTATATATGACGCTGACATGATATTAGTCCCATTAGGATCATTGACAGAACTAATCTCATGAGTATCAATGACATGTTTGGCTGTATTAGTTTGGAGAAACTTACCAATCAACTTTAATTAAGTAATTCTTTTGCCCAACGGTGGTATTTTATCCACTTTAAACGTCATTTACTCATTTATGATTTAGAGGAGGATTGATCCAGCAAATTGTTTAGCGGGACTAGCGGCCCAATAGTCATATGCTACTTCTTTCGGATTTGTTAGGGCTAGTTTGTATTGCCTTTTAAAAAAGTTTTTTTTATCACTTCCTTATTTTAAAAGAACTTTCTATAAAAGTTACAGCTATTTAGATTTTATAAAAAATATTTAATTTTTGAAAAAAATATTTGGCTTTTGACTTCTGCTTTCTTAAAAAGCTAAAATTTTTAGCTTTCGAAAAAAGTAGGTTTTTGGCTTTTTTTATGACTTCTGCTTTTTTAAAAAGCAGACATCCAAACAGACTTTTTTCGAGAAGTGCTTTTTTTTCTTAAAAAAAACAGTTTTTGAAGAAAAAAAAGCTCATCCAAATAGACTCTTAGTGCCTTAGGCCCTATCCTATGTCTTCTCTGTGGGCGATTACAACGATACATTATTGCTACTTAATCATTCCAAAAAGTTAAAGCGTGGATATATAGGTTTTTTATTTTATTTTAAACATGGTAAAAAAATATTGCATGATATTTTAGCTTGGGCAACTAATTATCCTTATGATATCATTTTTCGCTTCTAAGGGAAGACTTTTCTTTTCTCGAAATCTAGATCCTTCCTTTGAGGGATTCATGGCATCTGGATCTAGGGTCATATCTCTCAATCCACACCATGACACGATTAATCTTGAGCATAGGAACAAAGAGTGGGGTCCACGATCAATTCCAGTCCATATCCATAACTGGAGCCCACATTGCTCTGAATAATTGGACAAAGGACAAGCTAATTATATATGTTTTTATGTGTACACTTGTAGGGCAACCCACGACCTACTAACCGCTCTCCCATCTCGCAAAGATATTATTATATCGTGGGTCCTACATTTACTCAGTCTTCATCCTTATCCATCTCCTAATCATCCAATTCTCACTCTTTCCACTTCCTTTTGTTTTTACTATTGCCACTCCCTATCACATAAAAACAAAAATAAGATGCACTTGGTTGGAGGCAGCAAAACACTTCATCCCACTTAAGTCATAGATATTTTAAGCATCACTGGTGATCACCCTCTATATATACACTTCACGAAACACTTTGAGAAACCCTCCCTAGTTTTCATTAAGAGCAATATATACTTGCAAGATGGTTCTTCTAGAGAAGCTCTGGGATGATGTTGTAGCTGGTCCTCAACCTGAGCGTGGCCTTGGCAAGCTCAGGAAGCTCAACACCAACTTCAAAGGTACCTTTCATATAATAATGTATAAATTCCTAACTAGAATATATGTATAGGGCTAAGTTCAAGCTTGTGCATATGTACGCATATTTATCCATATATATGATCATGTTATGTTTATGGTTGTAGATGAAGGAGAAGGTAGCAAGTTCCAGAGGAACTTGTCCATGCCGACGACACCGACAACCCCGTTGACCCCGACGACACCGATATCGGCGCGTAAAGTTGACAACGTTTGGAGGAGCGTGTTCCATCCCGGGAGTAACTCTGCCACAAAGACCATTGGTGCTCAGATGTTTGACAAACCACTGCCTAACACTCCTACTGTCTATGATTGGTATGTGTTATTATTGCTATAACTCATCAACCACTTTGCATGCACACATAATCACAAGTTGATTATATTATGCCATAAGACAAATCATGTTAAAATGAAGCTACATGGTGTTCCTTTTTTTTCTTCTTCCCCTTAGTATTTTGTTCAGTGTTTTATAGTATGAAAAAGTGTTAACTTATTAGACTTTCATTTTGTTAAAATAATAATAAAAAAGTTATGGTACTTATGATATCTAACTTGCTGGTCACTGTATGATGATGAACGATTGAATCACTCAAATAAGTTCGGTAATTTTTTATTTTATTTTTTAAAATTAATGTGAATTTTGGTTGTAAAAGTTGTTTTACAATATGTATAATTTTATATTGGGTTTGTTTTTTATCATGTGACATGACAAGATCATTTTTCTGCACACACAAATCAAGTGTGGGTCTCACGCTTAAAAAAAAGTCAAAGCAAAATCAGGATACGACGCCATATCCTCAAGATATGTTGTCGGATCTTTGTTGCAGGAATGAACAATTCTTATATTTCCCTTTTATATTATTATGCCATACTAGCTAGTAGTCACCCCAGTATGTTTATTAAACCAATTGTAACAACAAACAAACAGATAATTTGTGTTGTCATTCACGTGCTTGGGATCTGCGCTTGGGATATATTTTGGTTCAATGCACAGGTGCTAGCGTGCTATGTATGCGATTGGGGTGATATGAGCCCCATTTGATCTTTTGAGAATCATCAATCAACGGCTAATTTTACGATTATTTTAATCTAACGTCCGTTTGTGCATGTGATTGCAGGCTCTACAGCGGGGACACAAGGAGCAAGCACCGCTGAGTGACGGCGAACTCCCGTTAGTTTCATGTAAATAGTGTCCGCTTTTGTTGAGCGTCTGCCACGTGATTGCATCTCTCTTTCCGCTTCGTGTTTTGATTGGGCTGTCGTCGACTGAATTAGCAGTGTTTGGTTTTGAGAACAAGTGAATGTAAAAATGCTTAATAATTAGTATGCTTTGTTTTTTATTCAAGTTTTGTTAACCAGATCTGCCGTGAACCTTGTTGATGGGTTAATCTATTATTAAAATAAGTTAAAGTGTGTTACTCTTTTTTTTTTTTTTAAGAATATGTAATCTTGGTGAGATAAGTATAATGTGTATGGATTTGCACGGTCTTATCATAATAATTCATTTGTAATGTTTACATGGTACGAAATTAATGGCTGTCCTAATCATCCTAATTTAATAGATAGTAATAATTGTAGTTTTTAGGTAAGTGGCCCTCTTGGTTTAGTAAATGACATAACGGGGAGTGGGAGTAACCTTATCTATAGTTTGAATATCGTAATTTAAGTTCCAGCCCATTGATATCACCGAAACCTTGACGTCTTTGTTTTACTCTTTCCCTTTTATTTTGATTTAAAAGGAATTTCGTATCCTTTCATTTTTCGTGTATTTATTTGTAAGTGGACCAACCTTTGCTGAAGTTAAGGGAAAAGGCTATATGAAAAGCTTGTCAGATGATTCATCCGAGACTTATGTGATAAACATCGAATAGAAAAGGTAGTGGTTGAAATTAAAACCCCTGATGGTTACTTTTGGAGAAGGACCCTTGTTTTAAAAATAAAATTACATCCCATATTTAACAGAAAAATGAACGATATTATTATCATTGGGCATGGCCCACGATAAAATACATCAGTCTATGCTCCCTCTTAATAATTCAATTTGCCCGCAGCTCTGGTGGAGGTGACTTGCTGGCGGCTTCTTGAGTCTCGATTTATATTATATGTCTACTTCCTTTTGAAGGTAACATTAACTTCATTGTTAATCTCCATCAAGTATTGGTACTTTAAAAATTTTGACACGTTGTGTTTGATATTTTTTGATATTTAATTTATTGACATTCTAATATTTTTTGACACTCCGATATTTATTGTAAAAACTTAAAAAAAGTTCAAAGGTTACGTTGCGTTTTATTTTGAGTTCTAACTATTAGATTTGTTAGATTATGATTATTATTTTATTGAGTTTAGTATAAAAATTTGGGATATTTTATATTTTTTTGCAAACTTGATGGGTATTATAAGTTTTTTTGTTAAATTATTGAATATTAAATATAATATATATTATATAAATTAAAAATATTATATAATATCAAAACGTATTTTAACGTGTCAAAATTTAATATCTTTTAGAATTAACATGTCAGAGTGTCATGTCTTATTCTGTGTCCTGTATCGATATCGGTATATTACTAGCCGACATATAAAAATCTACCAAAGAATTAGAAAAAAGACAATCACATTAATTCAAATCAGGATTGATTGTGTCTACAAGACTACAACCAAAAAAAAAAAATGAAAAAGAGAGAGGATAAATAAATAATAATAAAAATGCAGATCAAAATTTTGTCATTGTTAGCCTTCTGAGGCATTATTTGCATAATTTCAAATAGCATAACAATTAAAGAAGTCTAATATAAAATTATTTAAAATAATCAAACTTTTTGTTTGAGATGATGTGTAGAGAGAAGTTCGATATAAAATTATTAAAATAATTTCTCTTAAAAACTTAGGTTTGTTAAGGTTGTTTTACAAGAAGTTTTGAGTATGCCCTAATTTCAGTATAACCCAGCAAATCCATTGCTAGTTACGTCTCCAAATCTATTGCTACATTAACCTCATTCATTAACCAGGCTATAACCCCTGGTTTAACCACGCCAAACTCTCCCCTGCCAAAGTTGGGGGCAAAGTTATAGGCTTGTACAAATAAAACCTGTTAGGCTGTTCTCTAAATCATTCTCTTCTTCTACGTCTCAAAATTTTGATCAATTGAAAATGAGTTTAGTGTTTGTCTTTTAAAGGACTTAGAGTTATGTCATGTTAAGTGAAAGAAAAATATAATTAATAAAAATTATGGGAGAGAAAGTAAGTTTTTTTTTTTTTTTTAAATTTAAAAGTACAGTACTCTATGTCCTTTAAAAGGATAACTATTTTTTTCATTAAAAATATTCCATATAAATAATGATAAAATTTAACTTTGTTTAAATGAGTTCCGCACACCCATATTTATTATCCGAAACTTATTAATATATATTTTTTTAAATGAGTTTCGAGGATCCCATTATTTTTTTTTGTTATTAATGCAAAATTATTTTAAAAACTGGTAGATGTCCAACCCATATCATCTCCTTTAAAACTTATACGCTAACTAGTAAATCACAATAATTTATTAGTTTAGTGCTCCTATTATTTTATTTATTATATAACTGATATAAATTTTATTAAATTGCCTAATAACTTAAATTATTTTTCTATCATAAAAATATATTCCACATCATCAGGATGCGAAATTTAAAGTTCCCACCAGACCAAAATAATTAAAAACAAGATTTTACATAAAAATATGAAAGAGAAATAAAAAATCATAAAATATAAAATCATAACGTAAAAAAAATTATAAAAATATTTGAAATATGGATAAAAATATTTTGATAAAAAAAATTGTACAAACGTAATGATAAATCAAAATTTTAAATACCAATCTACCATGCACCAAACAATAAAACCCAAATGGGTTAAACTTCCCACATCTTGTCCTCCAAATCACCATTTTCACCATAATTTGGTTTGAGAAATGAAGGTCATTTATTACATGGAGAGATCTCATTCTACAAACTCAAAGTTATGGTGGATTTAAAAATAAAAATAAAATACAACATGCATAAGGGTTAGTTACGGAAAATTTTCTTCTCCTGAAGATTATTTGCCTTTATTAAAAGGGTTAAAAACTTTTTATGTTACATGAATTTTTTTTTCTTATTTTATACATATACAATAAATATGTGGATCTCTTTGAATTTTTTTCTCATTTCTCTTTTTAACAAAGCTCATATATTTATTATGGCTAAAATGTGTCATTTTAAATGATGTAAAGTTGTGTCATTTTAAGATAGAGAAAGAGATAGATAAAGGAGAAGAGAGAGTTGACAAAAAAAATAAAGGTGTGGGTCCTACTTCTTTGTGAGAGTGAAAAGATATAAGTTATGTCATTTAAAAAGATAAACACTTTTTCATTTATTATATATGTAGAAAAATATATTTTTCTAATGTGACATGAAAACATTGAAAAGATGTCTGTGACCCTTATTAAAATTCATAAAGCTGCTTTAGGAAGCACCGTACGTTGGGTTTAGTTTTAATCTCTAGTTATAAATCAAAGGTACTCCAAAACAAGGGAAAAAATAAAAACAGATTGTCTTCACGTTGATCACACTGAAAGATAAAGAAAGTATGTAGAAAACAAAGAAATTCTGAATAATATTGTATATTGATTGAATACCATTTCTCTGTTTACATTCTGCTATATATACTAAAGATGATTAACTAACAGAATTAACTACTAACTACTAGAATAACTATCTCTTATAATGGACTCATATAATGGATTGGGCTTTGATGGCCCAGTATCCTAATATATCCTTTCATTCCCCCACAAGCTGAGTGGGCTTGTAATCAAAGACCCGAAGCTTGAGTTTGAAATCCATAAATTTTGTAGTGGCAATGGCTTTAGTTAACCCATCAGCTATTTGTTCTGAAGCTGGAATGTGATGAACAGAAACAGCATTGGTAGTGACTTTCTCACGAACAAAGTACAGGTTTAGTTCAAAGTGTTTTGTCCTTGAGTGGAAAATTGGATTGGCTGAAAGCATAACAGCTGAAAGGTTGTCACAATACAGTGTTGGTGGTTGAGGAATTCGTACATGGAGTTCAGATAGTAGAGATTGAATCCATGCAAGTTCAGCTATAGTTGCAGCTAAGCACCTGTACTCAGCTTCTGTACTGGATCTGCTGACAAGAGGTTGCTTCTTTGAAGACTAGGAAACAAGGTTGTTTCCAAAGAAAATACAGAATCCACTAGTAGATCGTCGATCATCCAAATCAGATCCCCAGTCAGAGTCACTATAGGCAGCAAGATGAAAATGTTTAGAAGGTTGGATAGTGAGACCATGGGAAGCTGTACCCTTAAGATACCCAAGGATCCTCTTGACAGTTTTCCAATGAGTGTCAAGAGGATGATGCATGTGCTGACAAAATTTATTGATAGAGAAAGTAATGTCAGGTCTTGTAATTGTTGCATATTGTAAGGCTTCAACAACTGATCTATACTGAGTAGATCTGGGTATGGTGAGCCATTTTGAGCTGAGAGCTTGCATGATGAGACCATTGGTGTTGGCATGAGTTTGCATCCAGTCGTGTTGGCCTTTGGAGGAGATCAAAAACATATTTGGATTGACTGAGATGGTAGCCACCTGCTGAAGTTTTCTTAGCTTCAATGCCAAGAAAATAGTGAAGGTGTCCAACATCCTTTAAGGGGAACACCTTATTGAGTGTACGAATGAGGCTGGCCACTGCAGATGTGGAAGAACCAGTAACAAGGATGTCATCCATATATACCAGAACATAAAGAGTTGTGGTACCTGTGATGTGGATGAACAATGAGTTGTCACACTTGGCAGAAGTGAATCCAAGTTGATGAAGAGTGGTGGAGAGTTTGTCAAACCATGCTCGTGGGGCTTGTTTAAGGCCATAGATGGCTTTATAGAGATGACAAACAAGAGTCTTATCTTGGTGAAGAAATCCAGGAGGTTGTTGCATGAAGACTTCCTCTGTTAGATCTCCATTCAAGAAAGCCTTGTTGATGTCAAGTTGGTGAATAGGCCAGTTCTTTGAAAGAGCAAGAGTGAGAACTATACGAATGGTAGTAGATTTAACCACTGGACTGAAATGTTTCTTGGTAGTCAAAGCCTTCCTGTTGATGATAGCCCTTGGCCACAAGTCGAGCTTTGTGTTTGAGAATGGTCCCATCTGGATTATACTTGGTGCGATAAACCCATTTGCATCCAATGGGGGTTCTGCCAGGAGGTAAGGGTACCAGTTTCCAGGTGTTGTTATTGAGTAGTGCTTGATGTTCTTCCTGCATTGATTTAAGCCAATTGGGGTTAGTAAGGGCATGTGAGATGTTGCTGGGTTCAATAGAGGTATTAAAAGCCTTTGGTTTGTAGATCCCAGCTTTGCCTCGAGTGATCATGGAGTGAGTGTTGTGTATGAGTGTCTCTAAGGCTGTGGTAGGTGTGCTGCTAGTAGTAGGGACAGAAGGAGATGACCTGCAATCAATATTAGTG